TAAAGTACAGCACCGTTGCGTAATGAGATATTTTGCAAGAAAATCCGTATATTATCTTTTGCCATCCATGGTACATAGAGTACCGTCTGTACACCCTCCATTACCAAGTTGCGTAGTGTTACCTCCTTCACATCTCTTGTCACCACTAACGGTGACTGTACGGTTGTATTCTCAAGGGCAAAGGCTGATGATTTCAGGGGTTTTGAAACGGGCGGCAATGTGATGCTTTCCACAGGCAGACAAACTTCACCATAACTATCTCTGCGGCATTTACACACACAGTCACCATTCTCCTCAGCGCTGGACACTGCACCAGATGGGTAACAGTAGGTGTCCTTGTCGCATGTCTCACATCCAAAAACATTGATTTGTGCAGCATTGCCAAATCCAGCCGCAGCGTACTCGGTTGCCTTCGTTAGTTTATTCCCACCAACAGTGTTGCAAGAGACTTTCAGGTGAGCTCCTGCGTTAGTCTCGATTTTCGCAGAGAGCATACGTGGGGAGAGTACTTGATTGCGTACGAAACTCAGTATACTTTCGCCAGCCGTCACGGTACCAGCAACCATCACCATTTCCTTCTCGCTGTTGTCGTGTGTGTTGGCTTTCATCAGCAGCATTGATCCCTCCGTGAAACTGAGCGGTGAATGAAACTTCACAGCATGATCACTGGGAAGTACAAAGTCATTGCGCACAAACTTCACAACGGAGCCGGCCACAGTCAAAGGGTCCTGCATAGACACCGCGTGACTGCACGACAAGAAGTCACTATCGACAAACGCCAATACGGAATTACTGCGGGCCGTTACACTGCCCACTACTGATACGCACTCACCCAACGCCGCCTGCACCCACAACTGCTGCATGTACAACGCACTGCCAGAGGACAGGGTCACTCCACCCGTCACAAGTACACCGCGAACATCATTTAACGTCGTAATTACCTGTGTACGTGCAATCGTCAGCACACTACCCGTCAAACCCAACTTGTACAGCACAAGGCATGCAGATGCTTTCAGAAGATCGTAGCTGCCGCTGTAGTTAACAGGCGTCTCCGCGACCAGTACGGAGTCCACCACAGTGATGTGCGAACCTTGTGGATAATTCTTCGCCAGCAGCACACCACCGCCAGAGCGCGACTCAAGTCCACTGATTAACACCTCTACACGCTGACCAGCAGGCAGTTCAGACTCCCAACCTACAATGTACAAGCTTGCGTTACCAACCATTTTGCAGTTCTTTAGTGTCACGTTACGCACAGTGCCTGACATTGTCGTCAGGTCCAGCACGACGTCCTGAGTGAAAGTTACTCCCACATAACAAACGGACGACTTCCTGAAGCCAGCATGAACCTCCCATGATACGTTGATGTTACGTACACAAGGATCCTCATCTGGTAGTTTGGGAACATGGACAGGTAAGCAACGATCACCGTGACCTCCGTTAGTGCATTCACAGGCACAATTAGAAGCCGAAATGGATGCGCTGAGAGCAGGAAAGCAGGATCCCTCAAGACTGCAAGAACCATCACAACCAACTATATTCACGCTGGCATTTGTGGGCTTATCATTGTATTCGGTCACTACTTTCCTATTGAGGACGTTACAAGCGAAAATCAAGGACGAATCTCTCTCAAATTTGTGATTTCTGTATGACTTGAGCGCGACAATGGCAGGAGTAGTTTTACTCATTACAGGTGACACACTATTTCCAGATAATACTACTTTAGAGCCTGCCATTTCAACGGTAGAATCAACACGGAATACAGTAGCTGACAAATTATAAGCGGCGTTCTTGTGCATTCGTAGCCACGAGTCATTCAGATTCATATCTTCCTTAATTTTGAGAATGTTCGTCACCATGAGACCGTCATTGTTCTCTACCAAGAATGCAGATTTTTCCTTAGCGTGAAGAACAGATAAAAAGACAAAGTCCTCCAAAATGCCTGATACAAGACTTTTTTCGATTGCAAAAACTGAGTTGTCCTGTACTTCAAGTCCTTTTTTAACTTCGTCACCCATTACACGGAGAACTGCACTTCCATCATCGGTGAAAGTGAACTTGTTTCCTACCATTGCGAACATTGAATGTGACTTCACAGTCATACCACTAGTGCCAACAAACATAACGGTAGACTCCTTATTAGAAACAATGAACGAATTGTCTATTAGTTTAAGGGAAGAGTGATCATTGAGCTTCAACCCTTTTGTCATAATGCATGATCGCTGAACAGACATCATATCCGGTACGGCAATAATTCGCGTCACGTTGAAGTGACTCCCACTGACAATGATGTTAGTACGAGGAGGAAATGAACCAAAGGGACTTAGCATACCCTCATGGAATGTGTTACCAGTGATGGCAATATTGATTGATCTAGCTGAAGTCTCTCTGCCTTTCTCATTCTCACTGCCTCCCCGAAGAACAAGTGCAGCTCCACTTAACCATTTACACCCATCAAATGTGATATTCACAACGTCACCTGTCATTGCCCTGAGATCCACTGTGATCCGCGTGAAGGCTCCACTAAAGGTCACATTGCGGTAACACAATGAAGAAAGTCCATTGCCTAATGTCTGCGATACCTCTGGGTATTTCACATTACTCATGCACTCACCAGGTGCAGGTGGTGATGGCAGCGGTGGTGGGAGCAGTGGAACTGCCACACGCCCCGGAACGCACACATCGCCATGACCACCATCCGTACACTTACAAGAGCAGTCATTAGAAGAACTGGTAAAGGGAGCGAAGCAGTGACCTTGATCTACGCAACGATCACATTCCACCTGATCGGTTACATTATTGGAATTAGAACCTTCCGTATCTTTCGGTAGCGTCAAACAGCCTGAAATAAACTTGTATCCTTCTTGCTTACTCTTCAGTAGTGGTGCTGAGGCACCCTTAGATTCCTTCCTCTTGCCTATAAATGTCAACATACTGTTACTGTCAATGTTCACACCAGCTTTAGACACAACATGCACTAGTTCCCCTATAGAAACATCATTTCCACGCCAGTCCACCCAGCTTGAATTATGCAGGTCCCAATTTTTGTACATGTACACGCCTTTACCATCCAAATTACTGTTTTCTACCATGCGGAAAACGCTTCGATCATTGATCATCACCTCTTTACTGAACATAAGATATTTTCCAGAGAGTAGTTTATTCTCGAGGAATGCCATAACGGAGCGTTCATCAATATTAACTTGGCCGTTAAGTTTTATCATGTGTTCGAAACGTGAAAATCTACAGTTCTGCACGTACAATGAACTTTCATCCAGTAGTGTTAGTGAATCACCTGCAAGTATACCATCCCCAGAGTTCAAAATATATTTGCTGGTCCCTTTGTGACGGGCATAAATGTCACTTACCAAAAGTATAGACGAGCCTGATAAAAGCAGATCTTTCATTGCCACAATAGACAATGCGTTCGAGATACCATCAGGCGTTTTTACCCAAGAAGTCTGTACTGAGTCTACTTCTCTGACAGCGATATCAGAACCCTTTGGAAGAGCGTTGGAAAAGGAGACAACAGAAGATAATAGTACAGTTTTTCTCACTCGAATCCATACTCCAGCAGAATTAACTGGATCACGGCTACCCACAAAGTGTAGTGCAGCTCCACCAAGGAATGTACATCCAGTAAATGTAATATTTATGGGTTTCTGCAAGGGCATTCGTCCAAACACAAACTTTGCCACTGCCTTTTCACCACTGAACGTAACACCAATATAGCAGTGATGCGTCTTTTGCATATTTAGTGATAATTCCGTCAATATCTGGTTCTCGACACAGGTGGTGCCACTGTCGACTGGTTTCTTCAGAGTGTTCATAACATCGATTTCAGGCACCTCATAAGGAAGACATGATGGACACTGCTGATTATTCCCACTTTTACCATTACGGCTGCACGAACATGAGCTACTCTTTGTCAATTCATTTTTACCAGGCATGTGGCATTTCACATCTTCACTACAAGCATCACAATTAAACTCTGTCACCGTCGAATTCTCAAACTGTTCTTTTAGTGACACAACCTTTCCATTCTTCTTATTACAGCCACCCACAATCTTTCCTTGTGAAGTCAGACTAGTTTTGACAGTGAGAAATGCCGGTACATCACCTTCCATAACATTCTCTGAGAAAATAACAGCCGTGCCTTCCCCAGAAAGTTCAAGAGTTCCAGAATATTCGGGTTTCGCCTGATAAATCGATGTACCCTTCACCCGGTTCAGCATAACCCGTATTATTGATCCACCAGATAACTTTACACCACTTCCCCTATATAAAAGGGCAGTACCAGTGATTTTTCCGTGTCCTTTTAGAGTGTTGCCTACCAATACAAGTCGTCCAGAAGAACTTATGGCACCCCCATATGCTAACAAAACTCCACTTCCGGCAATTATCTCTGTATTCACAATACTTAAGTAACCACTGTTTTTAATTTGGAGGGTGTTAACATAAAGACCAGCAGATGCAGTAGATTGTGGTACTGTCGCCTCCAATCGAGAGTTCTGCACAATAAATCCATTTGCATCAAGAGCAAAATCATTATTGAAATAGATAGCATGCTTTCCTGCAATAATATTGGTGCGGAGTAATAGGATTTTTGAATTTGAACCCAATACCGTTTTCGACTCCATCACAAATCCTTCAGCATCTGTGGTATCAATAATAGAGTCTACAAGCTGAATATGAGACTCTGACCCAAATTTCCCACCAAGAACAAGTTTACCATCCGTGATTGTAGATGCACGCATATTCATATGTACTGCATAATCCTTAACTCCAGTAAGTGACACACTTGACATTGTGCACTGTACAAAAGTAATATTAATAGTCTTCCGTTTGGGTCTGAATTCACTCAAATCAATAACAATAGGAGAGGTGAAATGTACACCAATAAAGCACATTCCAGATGTACCCAATACGGGGGAAGTAATGCTGCTTATATTACCACCGTAGACACACGGGATATCAGTAGCCCCTACTTCAGGTGGTGGCAACGGACCCAGACTTTTAGGTGGAGCAACTGGTAAACAGAAATCACCGTGACCACCAGAAGCACATTTGCACTTACACCCACCCTTATTAGATGCATTAGTATTATCACTAGAGGCCGCTTTACCATTAAAGCATTCAGCAGAAGCCGAACAAGTGTTACATTCCACCTTTTGCACAGTTTTCGGCATACTTAGCCTAGTGTAATCCAAAACAGGTTCCCCAAAGCGGTAGTTGCACACACCATACACAGTTAGATCTTGATAATTGTTAGATATGGGTTGATTCCACATGTCTGCCCCACCATACCTCGAAAGAGAGGGTTTCCAAAATTTGTTGCGAATCACGGACCACACATTTTTCTCTGCAAATTCCACTTTCTCCGCCTTAAAAACGTATTCACACTGGAATTCATTTTCACGCTGCAACAACCAACTGTTTCCCTCTACCTTTAGTAAGTCCATATTAATAACAGACTTTTGTAAGCTCATCGTATTCCCTGTCATCTCCAGCACACTACCTCCTTTCAGGGCAATTTTGTTACACTCCCATGCATTACCAGTACCTTCAGACTTCACCCTCCATGAGTTATTACGTAATGAGAAGACTGATCTATCCAAAATATTCAGATCGGAGGAAATGAAATTCACTACATTACCAGCTGCATTTACTCCACAGTTATCCATATAGAAACCACTCTTCTTTTCCAATGTAAGACCATGTTCAACAAGAATTACAGCACAGGAGGATCCTGCACACATCATTGTTGTGCGTGTGAGAACAAAATTTGTCGAGACAAATTTGACACCATCCAAGACAAGCACAGGACTGTATTTTATACTTTTATTACCGGAACTCGTTATCACATACTTAGATTCATTAACGGATGAGCTTAACATGGAGTCTGCCAAAAGGACACTCGACATTTCAGGCAGTACACCTTGTAATACAATGGTACCTTCTGTAGATGTCATGTTCGTCACACTTAAAGAAACACGTGGCATCATTTTTGCAATATCTTTATCAAATCCCCGAATTCGCAACTGTGCGCCACCTGCAAGCATACAACGCTGCAGAGTCACATCAAGTGTTTTAGCGAGTGTATTCATAGATCGTAAATCCACTGTTACGATGATCGGTCCGCTAAACGCAACGGCCTCAAAACACACATTTGATTGTCCTTGTCCAATGGTCATGGATTTTGTAACTGCAACACCCCGCATACATTCTTTTTCTTTCTTGTCAGCCTTTGCGAGAGGCACATCCATTGGCAAACATGACGGGCCAACACCGCCAGGGGAACATCTACACGCGCAGTTCGGCATGGATGATGTCAGCCCTGCGAAACAACTTAACTCTCTCGCACAACTGTCGCATGGCACAACCTCCACAGCGGAGAGACCAGCAGAACGGTATTCCTCAGGACTCTGTAGTAACTTGCCGTTGGCGCGATTACACTGGACAGAGATCTTTCCACTCTGAACATGAGGCCCAGTGAGGAGAGTAGCGCCAACGGCAGCACTGCGTGCAATTGAGAGTACACCACCGGCGAGTTTCACCTGCGAGAGGGACGCAATGGACGCTGTGGAGTCCCCTGTTGACATCACATTATGCAAATCCAACCATCCATGAGTAGAGATAACGCTTCCACTGCCGAAATTGAGCAGAGGGCCGGAGGAAACACGGCCGTCAACACGTGCGAGGCGCAAGATAGAGTCCGTGAGGGTAAATGAGTTTCCAAAGAAAATACCTTTGGCATCACTGATAATGGATGAGTTTGTTAGTGAAAACACAGAATGTTCTTGTAGACTAAAAATAGAGGAGGTTGATACTTGCATCGCGTACCCATCATTTTTGCCCATTACCTCCAATAATACACCATCCAGTACTAACGCACCATTTACCAGTTTTACGTTTCCATTCATTTGTATGGCTGGAATAATAGGAAGGTTTGTTCTTAAAACGGAGTTTTCCAAACGTAACTGTCCCTTGGTAAGAGTAAGTGCCTCAAGTACAAGAGGTGGGTATTTGTTTGCGGGTTCTTTGCCTTCCTCATCTCCATTCCTCTCTGGAATTCTAGCCACAATAGTTGAATCACGGATT